AATTGTCCACCAGCACTGTGAATGTTTAATTGGTGTGAACAATAAACACATGACAGATTATCATAGTTTGTGTGTTATTAGCTTTAGCACATTTTGTTTGTCTACTTGTGACGTAGATGAAGAAGTGATGATATTTTATGACCAGTTAATGTAGAAAACTGGGTAATTTTAAAGGATTTAGACACTTTTATCACCACTGTATACAACACAATAATAATGGACTGTTTACAGTGAAGGCTACCAAAATGAAAACATTTCTCTTTCTAAACTACAGCAGTTGATCTCCTCAGTTCTCAAACACTAATAGAGTTGTTAAAAGAAGAGGTCATACAGCACAGTGGTAAACACCCTGTCCCAACTTTTTTTGAAACATGTTGCTGGCATCAAATTCAAAATGGGCATAAATAGTTTTAAAAAACAATAAAATATCAGTTTCAACATTTGATATGTTGTCTTTGTACTACTGTCAATATACAGGGTTTAAATAATCTGCAAATCACTAAATTCTGTATTTGCACAACGACCCATCTTTTTTTGGAAACATGGCTGTAAAGTCATATAGAACAATGACAATTCAAAAAGATAAGTAATGAAGAGTTTTAATGAAACACCAGGTTAAAGAGATACATTAAATGTGTGCACTGAGTTTTACTCTCTGAAAGAGCCTCTCCACGTTTTCTGTATTTTACTGAAGGTGTTTGCAGAATGTCAGTATCTGCAGATCTAACATCTCATGTTGGAACATAAACAGACAGACACTCTGTGATGTAAGTGGTGCTTTAAGCTCATTTAAAGCCTTAAAAACTAGTAGCAGAACTTTAAAATCTATTCTGAAAGATGCAGTCAGTGCAGTTCTTTCTAAATGGGAGTGATCTGATCTCTCTGGTTAGTTTTTGTTAGGATTTGTTCTGTTGCATTCGCTGTAGAAGATGGACTGTTTTCTTAGGAAGTTCAGTAAGAAGATCATTACAGTGATCAACTCAGCAAATGTATTAACAACATTCTCTGCAACAAACGACTACTTTCATAGTAGAATAATCTATCGATTACTGAAACGAATAATCGATTATTCAGATTATAAATCACTACGTTACCAAATACCTTCTTTTAGCTTTTTTGGCTTGAGGTTGTTTTATGCATTTGCTAACTAAAAATGAAGACAATAAAGATGAATACCATTCAAGAATTCACTGTTTTAATTAACTTTCCTGCTAATACAAAAGATAAAAATAAACCTCTATTGTATTTTTTCCTGTCAAAATTCATAACCAAGGAAAGTAAAGCAATAAATGTACTGCAGCAAAGTAGCAGCAATAAAATATTAGAAAAATAAATCAGTTTTTCTTTAATGAAGTAAATAAAAAATACATCTAACTTTAAATGTTACATTTTAACAGTACAGTCTGTGATCTGTGCTCTGTGCTCTGCTGTTTTTCTACACTTTGCTTTACTAAATTTTACAGTCACAGATCTTCAGTGAAACGGAGGAAAGTCAGTGTCTCTCTGTGCTCCTGTGAGAGTCTCTCTCTCCTCTGAGAGCAGAAACTCCCCGCTGCAGAGAAGATGCGCTGTGATGGAGCGGATGGGAAAGTGGAGAATGTTTTGAAATTTGAACGATTTTGTGTAAACACTTCATTTCAGTGGTGACCCTTAGTCCAGCTACCCTGTGTGTTCACGGAGAACTACCTCCTTAAACTGTTAGCGAGTGGAGCCAAACGTCCACAGAAAACCCAAAACTGTTCTCAAACGCTCTCTTGTGTTCGGTGAATTTGACCGCACCAGTGGCCTCGGCGTTCAGACACTGATGCAGTGTTTAAAAGTCTAAGCGTTATCTGGAAACTGAACAGGGAGCTGTGAATTATAGTTACTTGCTCCTCTGGCCCAACTACAGTGAGCCGACAAGATTCCTCTTCAGATGCTCCAACATGGAGGATCTGCTCTCATGCCAGCTAAGATCGGCTTTACAAACAGCACAACTGACAACCTTTTTTTTCTAAGTTTTGCTCCCACACTTCTGAGGATTTTGTTCTTGAGGCTCCCATCGCGCTGTTGTTGAGTCTCAGTGAGCGGTGATGTCGAAACGTTTCTAGTGAGCGCGACAAATACGCGTAATGACGTCACCAACTAATCGACTTCTAAATTAGTTGCCAACTAATGTGGTCGTCGATTTTAGTCGACTAAGTTGAATAATTGTTGCACTCCTAATCCCCGTCTATCCAAATTGGCAAAAAATCTTACATTTTCAGTTTCATCTTCACATGACTCATTACAAATATCAAGACCACTGATTTTTTAATCAATCAAAATCCAGCACATTTTTCTTTTTCATTAAAACATCAAACAAAATTCATATTAGTGTTAGTGAAACTGCCAACAACCAAGATGCAAAATATAGGGGGGGGGTCCTGGGGGATTCTAGACCCCCCCCCAAGTTGGACCCCATGAATGTCTCAAAATCAAAATTTAGGTGGTTCACTGACAACAACCTTATGATGTTAAACTGTCTGTTTGAGAAAAACAGAAGCTCAAATTCAAATTCAGGGAAAGGTCATTGTTTAGCTGCTTCACTCAGGAAATGGTGAGATTGTATCTTTGATTTTCTTAAGTAGCTAGTGATGCAGCACTGCTGCTTCAGGGTGGCGCTGTTGTAAACTGGTTCACTCAGTTGATCCTTCATAGCCTAACTATGCCTGGGATACCTCTGAACAACTTTACAATATGTCATCGCATATTTACAAATCTAAGGCTACATTTACACAGGAGGTAAAAGTGGCCCGAATCTGATTTTCTCACCAAATCCGATTTTTTTGTTGGGCAGTTCAGATTATCTTTTAAATGTGATCTGTATGCAACATCAGTCTGAACAGATCTCGCTCCTAAACCGACCCGCATGCGCAAAAGAACAATACTTCACGAGGCGGAGGAAAACAGTCATGATGGCCAGTGAACGCCTGTCACTCCCGGAGCTTCAGTTTTGTCTTCGCCATCACAGGAGAGCTTATGAAGTTCCAGTGGTTGACAGCTGGGCTCATCACCCACCACGTGTTTGAGTTCGCCATAAACAGGGCTCATTATTCGGTCACTGTCACTTCTTTGGTTCATGTCCTCAGATTCTTTAAATGCTGCAGCCTCGAGCTCCTCCGGCCGCGTTCGGCCGTTCGAAACCTATTTGAACACGGAGCGGCTGTGATGAGTCTCTTCTATTTTTTGGGTACAGAAATTTCAGCCTAAATGTTTATGAGTCTCAGCAGCGCGAAATGATGACGAATGTCACTTTGGACTGAGGTAAAAGTTGCATGAATTCCGATCTGGCTGTTCAGACAGAGTCGCATTGCCGCAGATCGGATACGGATCGGATACGGATCGGATTTCAGTACCACATATGAAAGCATCTCAAATCGGAATTGAAAATGTCAGATTCAATGTATTTTAGCTGTTCATACAGCCACACAAATGACACATCTGTGTCACATACGAGGAAAAAGATCCGATTTGGGCCACTTTTACCTGCGGTGTAAAAGTAGCCTAAGAAACTGACCAAGAGACTGATAGAAAGAGTGAATTGTGACTCATTTCTAAAACCAAAGACAGAAGAGAAGATGTGTGAGATCTCAGTGAATGTGTGGAAGAGCACATTACTAAACTGGAAAAGAGCATTTCCAAAAGAAGAATTATTAAACCAAATATTTTTGCCATTAAAGCTCACATCAATGCCTTTATGGTGAATGAGTTAGCAGTCAGCCAATGCTGGAGTAGCCAGTCAAGATGTTTGTGGGGGGGGTTACACCAGGGGTCACACCAGGGGTCATTTCACACACTGCCAACAACTATACAATATCATCTTTTAAGGACTCGTATCAATCATTAATCTAAACCCCACAAAGAACTAAAAAGTCTGTTTTTATTCTGTACAATTAATACTGAAGAAATACACCATTTAGAGAAATTGTAAATGGAGAAAAACTGCAGGTACAGAATAAAAGACCAGAGGTCTTTTTTCAGGATTTGGGCCCCTTAGTTCCAGTGAGGGGTAATAATAATGCTACAAAAATATACAAATTAATGTTACATAATTCTATGCTTCCAACTTTGTGGCAGCAGTTTGAGCCTCTGTGCACAAAGCAAACTCTATAAAGACCTGCCTTAGTGAGTTTGGTGTGAAGGAACTCCTGTGGCCTGCACAGAGCTCTGAGGAAGTGAGGAAGCCTCTGCTTTGGTTCCTTGGTGAGCAGGAAACGTGTTAAATCCACCATTCAAAGGCTGTTTTAAAAGCATTAATTTAAAACGTATAAAATTTAAAACATTAATAATTTTTGAGAGTTGTCACAAGTCTCCTAAATATTTTCAGGTAAAGTGGAACAGTTTGTATAAAAAAGTGCTTTAAGATTCTAGGAAACATTTTGCAAAAGCCAAACAGCCACACAGTGAAACACCATAACATTTCATCACATTTGGCTGAACGTTTAATACTTTTAAATCAAACCTCTGAAAGGTGGACTTTAACACGTTTCCTGCTCACCAAGGAACCAAAGCTGGGTCTTCCTCCCTTCCTCAATCTGCTCCAATACTGTACCACCTTCTGCCTCCAATATTCTACCATATTCAATATACCACCTTTCATTCTGTCCTCTCTTCTCTGATTGAGGTTTTAAAATAGTCAATCAAGAAATATTAATAGTGTTATTTCTAAAAATGTAATGTTTTTATTTGGTGGGTATCCAAATCTTAAAAGTTTAAAAAGGTAACTGTGTCCTGAATATTGCCTGTTCAAAATGTAACTTGGACTGAACTCAGACACCTCATTTCTTTCTACTTGGATACTTTTACATCCCAACCCTGCACATTGTAGTGATTTCCTGCACAAACACATCCACTTTAACTCAGTAAGGGCTTGTTAATCAGGGATTACAGGGTTGCATTCCACTAAAATCATGGAATACTTTATGACTAAAATCACTCTTAAACAGTGCAGTAAAATGTGTAATAATAGAAATACTCACTCAGCTTTTCTGGATGCTGTAACGACTGGCAGAAGCCTCAGAAGACATTCGTCTGATGGGTCATATTTGCTTAAGTCAAACTCATCCAGCTCCTCCTCTGAGTTCAACAACACAAACACCAGAGCTGAACACTGAGCAGGAGAGAGGGTGACTTCATCTAGACCATAGTAGTTCCCTCTGTTCAGGTATGTCTGGGCTTCCTGCACTAGAGAGTGGTCATTCAGTTCATTCAGACAGTGGAACAGATTGATGTATTTCTCTGGAGAGAGATTCTCCCTGAGCTTCTCCTTGATGTACTCAACTGTTTCCTCTCTGCAGTTAGAAGTGCTTCCTGTATGGGTCAGTAGACCTCGTAAGAGAGTCTGATTAGACTCCAGTGAGAGACCCAGAAGGAAACGGAGAAAAAGGTCCAGGTGTCCATTCTCACTCTGTAAAGCTCTGTCCACTGCACTCTTGAGAAAATCAGTCACTGTTGATTCTGAATGTGTTTGTTGTTTCAGCACATTTCTGTTCTGAGAAATAAAGGAGAAAAATGCAAACAAAGCAGCCAGAAACTCCTGAACACTCAGATGGACAAAGCTGAACACCTTCCCCAGGTGCAGCCCCAACTCCTCTCTGAAGATCTGAGTGCAGACTCCTGAGTACACTGACACTTCTCTGACATCAATGCCACACTCTCTCAGGTCTTCCTCATAGAAGATCAGGTTGCCTTTTTCCAGCTGTTGGAAAGCCAGTTTTCCCAGAGCCAGAATAATCTCTCTAGTCTGCCGAGGATCAGTGTCACATTTTCCATGGTACTTTTGGTCTTTGTGTTTGATCTGAAAGATCAGGAAGTGTGTGAACATTTGAGTCAGAGTCTTGGGGATCTCTCCACTCTCTGCTTCACCCAGCATCTTCTCCAGAACAGTGGCTGCAACCCAACAGAAGACCGGTATGTGGCACATGATGTAGAGGCTTCTTGATGACTTCATATGTGTGTTGACTCTGTTGGACAGACTCTGGTCAGTGATCCTCTTCCTGAAGTATTCCTCTTTCTGCAGGTCACTGAATCCTCGTACCTCTGTTACCTGGTCAACACACTCAGGAGGGATCTGACCACATGCTGCTGGTCGAGAGGTGATCCAGAGAAGAGCAGAGGGAAGCAGATTCCCTTGGATGAGGTTTGTTAGCAGCTCATCCACTGAGGCTGACTGTGTTACATCAGACAAGCTCTCATTGTTCTGGAAATCTAGAGGAAGTCGACTTTCATCCAGACCATCAAAGATGAACAAGACTTTGTACTGATAATAATCTGTTGGTTTTAACTTTTTTATGTCTGTGAAAAAGAGACGAAGAAGATCAACCAGACTGAGTTTTCTACTCTTCACTGAATTCAGCTCCCTAAAAGGAAGTGGAAATATGAAGAGGATGTCCTGATTTGCTTTTCCTTCAGCCCAGTCCAGAATGAACTTCTGCACTGAGACTGTTTTTCCAATTCCAGCAACTCCATTAGTCAGTACAGTTCTGACGGCTGTGTCTTTAAAGAGGTCACTGCAGTTGATGGGTCTCTCCTGTGTTGCTGGTCTCCTGGACGCTGTCTCAATCTGTCTCACCTCATGTTCATTCTTGATCTCTACACTCCCCCCTTCTGTAATGTAGAGCTCTGTGTAGATCTCACTCAGAAGTGTTGAGCCTCCATGATATGAGATTCCTTCATTAATTCTCTGGAATTTCTTTTTCAATGTAGATTTGAACTTTTGATGACAAGCAGGAGCCAGTTCTGAAAAAAGATTATTACAATAAACAATAACAATAAACATGTTAATGTCTGACATCCTTACCACAAACACAATAACACACATTACCCTTCTATCAACACGGAGCACAATATTAAACTGAACTGTGCTCTGTGGTTCTTTTGTCTAGGAATCATCAGTAAAATTAAATAACCACAATTAATTTAGATAATAAAGGATCATCTTTTTGCTCTTTAGTCCTGAAGAAATTTGTTCCAGATTGTTTATATTTAACTTGCCAGAATTTCTATGCTCAGTTTACTTGTAAAAATAATTAACTTTATCATGGAAAAGAAATAATGGAATGTGCTCTGTATCAGGGAAACTGTGTCAGGGGTGGAATTATTGATTCTGAGGTTCTAGGCTAAAGACAGGAATGGGGCCCCCTGGTGGCACATTTGTAAACTAGTCGAGGCTCTGGGTGGTCCCCGAGTGGCACAGCCATCTACACTGCACAAAATGATGTCTTGGCAAGTAAAATCATCTTAAATCTGGTCAATATACCTAATTTCAATATCTAATTTTGAGATTGGGGTAAGAATATTATTAGCGTATTTAAAAAACCCAAATCCTACATTTATCTTATATTTTATTTTTTAATTGTTTATCACTTATAATGTTTGTGTGGGCTTTGTTTCTATATATGGACTCTATGGACTGGAGAGTGAATGGTAGGTTTTCAAATTTAACAAAATATGCATAATACATAAAACATCTTAAAAAAAATGAATCTTAATTAAATTACTAAAATAATAAAATAAATAAATTTAACATGCACAATATTTCTGCTTTGTATTTTCATGGGGACCCTAAGCCTCATGTAAAGATCACCACTGTATATACAGGCTTTCCAGAGCTGCTCAGTGTTCCAGTGTGACAGAGTTCTTACTGGTTTGTAGTGTGTTGGCGAGGTCTGTCTGGTTCATGTTCCTCAGGACGTGCAGTGCGATCTGCAGTGTTCCTTCTCTGACAGTCTGATCCACCTCATCCTCCACCTCCCTCTCAGAGCATGCTGGGAAATCTGAACTCAGTACCTTCTTGAACCTCTTCAGCTGATTCTTCACCAGAGAGATGACTTTGTGCTCCAGTTCCTGATTGGACATAAACATTAACAGAAAATGACTGAAACACCACCATGTCATAGTTCAGTGGATCTCATATCAGGACCACTGAGAAACTTTAAAACTGGTCTGCAGATATTTTTTATTTAATAAAACACAACAAACTGCTCAAAATCACATCAGTACACTGCATATTAGAGTCAGTATACTACATGTTAGAGTCAGTACACTAGTACATGTTCAGTTACTTTATTACTCACTTCCTGCAGTTCAAGCTTTCACCCAAGAACAATGATGGTGAAATGTGAATATGGTCCTGCATTCTGAATAAATGATGTGGAGAAATTATACATCTACATGTTAGACATATATTGTTTTTTTTTTCTTGTGGGTGGGAATTCTCTACCAGGAAATGATTAATAAAAGTGTCTTTCACATAAAAATGTTGTTGGACCCACAAAATAGCAGGAGACTGTTATATTGTTAATTATAAATATCTCTCTAAATCTGCTTTCTGTAGACATATTAACCGCTAAACACTAAAGATCTCTCAGTGGGTTTAGTATTTAATTACTCAATCTTATAACTTAATAATTCAAATCATTTATCATTGATCTTCCTGTCATTACAGGATAATATGCATTAAGATGAGCACATATAAAGGGATTTACGATGCTGAACTGAAATCATGGAGTGGTGTGTTTATTTTTTTCAGAAAGGCAAGCAGAGCACAACATCACCTCAGCCTGTGAAAATGTAACTGAAGAAACATTAAACTTGCTTACACTACTTACATACAGCCGTATGTAAAAGTCTTACATACAGAAATTTGGAGCAGATTTTGACCTGAGCGAGTAACAAAAACCTGATTTCCAAAAGACACAAAGTTAAAGATTTCACATTTCATATTTTAAGCAAGATTACTTTTTTATTTCCATCTTTTACAGTTTAAAAATAACAAAAAGCAAAAGGGCTCGAAGCAAAACTTTAGGCGCCCTGCATGTTCAGTACTTAGTAACACACCTTTTGGCAAATATCACAGCTGGTAAACACTCATTGTAGCCAACTAAGAGCCTTTCAGTTCTTGTTTTGGGGATTTTCACCCAGTCTTCCTTGCAAAAAGCTTCTAGTTCTGTGAGATTCTTGGACTGTCATTCACTGCTCTTTTGAGGTTTATCCACAGATTTTCAATGATGGTTAGGTCAGGGGACTGTGAAGGTCATGGTAAAACCTTCAGCTTGCACCTCTTGAGTAGTTCATTGTGGATTTTGTGGATTATCCTGTGAGAAGCCATCCTCTTTTCATCAGCTTTTATTTCCAGGCAATGCGAAATTTGCTTCCAGAATTTGCTGTTATTGAATTGAGTCCATTCTTCCCACTGGCTGCAACATAAGCCCAAAGCATGATCAATCCACCCCAAGGCCTAACAGTTTAAGAGGTGTTCTTTACATGAAATTTGGCATCCTTTTTTCTCCAAACATACATTTGCTTATTGAGGCCAAGCATTCTATTTTAATTTCATCAGTCCACAGGACTTGTTTCTGTTGTTGTTTTTGCATCAGGCTTGTTTCGATGTTCTTTTGCAAATGTTTGACGCTGACTTTTGCGGTGAAGACACAGGAAACATTTCTTCTGATGAATCTTCCATGAAGGTCATATTTGTGCAGGTTTTTGCAGCCAAATGGGGAGTTTTGTTTTGCCTTTCTAGCAATGCTACAAGCAGTTCTCTCAGAAAGTTCTCTCGGTCCTCCAGACCTCAACTTGACCTCCACCGTTCCTGTGCACTGCCATTTCTTAATTACAACGGCTATGTGAAAACTCTTCTCCTGCTTTGTGGGCATGAACTATTTTAATCTTCAGAGTGATAGGCAGCTGCTTAGAGGAGCCCATGGCTGCTGATTGTCAGGACAAGGTTTGTGGAGTCAGTGTATTTATAAAGCTTTGAAATTTGCATCACCTGGACTTTTTTTAATGATGATTGTGAACAAGCCACAGCCCTAACAAGCTAATTAAAGTCTGAGACCTTGGTAAAATTTATCTGAGATCTCAAATCTTTTTAGGTGCCGAAATATTTGCATGGTGCTTCTTTCTGTATTTTGCTCTAAACTTGTACAAAACAAAATACATTCAACTTAAAAATGTTGAAAAGACTCACTCAGCTATTCACACTAAAAGAAATTTTGACCAGAGACGCCCAAACATTTCATGCCACTGCATCTTTCAGCTCGAAAACAGAGAGTTTGTGAAAAGTTAGTAAAGTGATACATAAGATATGTTAAAAGTTTTATTCCATGGAACTTATATGAGTAGAGTGTAAAAGTAAACAATGTTTGTCTGCATTCTCATTGCAACACATTCTGCGTGGCACATCAGCGCTTTTACTGATATGCTAAATGAACAATCATAAAACATTTAGTGTGGAGTGCACAACAAAACAATCTTCTATTAAATAAAGTGCAGTACTGCATTTAGTGGAGACTACTAGCATTTACCTTCATAATGTATTTCACGCATAAAAAGCACCTGATACCCACTGTGAAATATGAAAATACCAAGAAAATTTAGCCCAAAATCTGTCTGCCTCTGCTAGAAGGCTGAAACTTGGCCATGGATGAACCTTTCGGCAAGATAATGACCCCAAACTCACATCAAAAATCCACCAAGAAATATCAGAGTTTTGCCCTTTCAGTTTCCAGATTTAAACCTAGTTGAAAGCTTGTGGTGTGAATTGAAGAGGGCCGTCCATAAGCGAAGTCTGAAGAATATTAAGGAACTGAAAATGTTCTGCATGGAGGAGTGTGTACAGATGAACAGAATTATTTGTGTCAGACTGTAACATCAATTATGTTTATTATAGGGTTCACGTATGAAGATACATTTACATAAAAGGAGGCCGATACAGCATTCAACATGTGTGCTGTTAAAAAAGCAGGTATTTTAAGCAGGTAGTGCCAATGTAGACATGTTGTTAGATCTTAGGTAGTTACCTGTTAGTAACATTAGTCTCTATGGACTCTTAACCAAATCATGCATACCACTGATTAAAGATGACCAGACAGTATCAATGGGTATCAGTATCAGATGTCAGAAGGAAAAAAGAATGATGTGATGTAACCCTGTAACAAATCTATCCTGAAACAGCACTCAGTCACACTGTGAGATGTGATGTTAGCTGTGTAGTTCTTCCTGTGGGGTAGTGGAGTGTGTGAGTAGTTAATACTACAGGCTGATTGGAGATTAATGTGAAATTCTCAAGAGAAATTATACACATCAATTTTACCCATACTCATATGCATATACATGCACAAACACACACCTGGAATATGGACTCCAGATGTGTCATGGTGATCTTTGCTCTCTCCTTTTGGGCTCTATGGAAAAGAAAAACATATGATATGTGAACCTCTTGTGGCTAAATAGGTGAACTACAACAATATTGGAATATCTTTAGTCTTTGAATTCACCTCACATTCCCACCTATCAACACAAAGCAAGCTGTAGAATCAACAGTGACCAGTGGAGTTCATTCAGAGTTTGTTAGATTATTTCCTTTCTATTTGGATACAGATGATAAAAGTATGGCTTTATGCTAATGTGGCTTGAGTGTGTCCCAACAGAAATCAATCTTCTAATTAGCACATCACAAAAAAGTCTGTTGATTACAGTAGTACTGTTTTGAACTTGAGGATAAAGGAACTGTGTCAAACTCCATTTAACCAGTTAGCCTCGTCTCCCTGTGGCGAAAAAATAGGTGTTGATGGCTTTTACCAGGTCCTGTTAATACATTACCGTGATGTCAACTCCAACAGAGATTCTAATAATATAATAATTAAGTAATAATTTACTTAATAATTTGTGCTGGAATTATTACATAGTAGCAGGAAAACTACAGACATTGCAGATTCATACTGGATTAAAATTACAGAGCTTGTCGGTAACCTGACTATCGGCCAATTTATCTCAGGGTGGTTTGTTTGCTTTCAGGAACCAAGCTAAAATATATGATCATCAAGAGAGGCTACAATACTGATCTCCCCTCGGCAGAGTATTGATTTATACTACTTGTTAAATATGATGATGTACTATTATTATTTTTATTCAGAGAGATGTTTCTTCTAATCATGTTATCCAAGTACAGTCTTTGTACAGCAGCAGCTCTTAGTCAGAGCATCAAACTCCCGTGTCTCTTTTGTCTGGAGGGATTGCAAAGTTACAAGCCTATAAACACTGAACATTCTGTTCAGACTGATTTGCTGCTCAATAATAATCAAGAGTGTCCTTTTCTGTTTTATTTTGTAAATATCGCCTCTACAGCAGCATTATAGTTTTATACAGTCTCATAGAATGACTGACAGGAGGTCAGTGTAAACACAGACAAGTCCTCTGTTCCATACTGCAGTTTTCCAAACAGGGTTTCTCAAACACATAATAAACATGTGATGATGCTCTTACTAAAAATATATATTTTTTCATGTTCTACATATTTTTCAGGTTGTTAATACTTAACATATTAAAATAATTAAAATTATAAAGAAATACACATATAATCCATGAATGAACTGTTTTAAAGTGAGTTCTCTGCACTCTCACTCCTGAACAGCTATAGCACTGCACAGTTTAGAGTATTTCCTGCTCCAATACACAGACGTGTGACACATTAAAGGAAAAACCAACATAAAGTGTCTCTGAAGGGTGTTGGACCTCCAAGAGTGACAGGAACAGCTTTATTGTTCCTTGGTGTGGATTCTACAAGTCTCTGGAACTGTACTGGAGGGACGGAACACCGTTCTTCCAAAAGATACTCCCTCAGTTGGAGGTGGAGAGCGCTGTCTAACACGCTGCTCCAAAATCTCCCATAGCTGTTCAACTGGGTTGAGATTTGGTGAGTGTAAAGGCTGCAGCACAGCCCATACACCTAAAGGCAGATGTCACTTTAGTCACTGTTTCTGTTGAAACACTGGCCAGATGAGCAGCCTTTGTGACTGAAGCTCTGTGCCCCAATAATGACCCTCTTTCACAGTCATTTACATCCAAAGTTCAGGTCAGATGGGTCAGCTCAGCATTTTTATACATGACACAGAGCACAGTGGGATGTTATTGCTTAATGGTATCATCCAGCACACCTGTCTGGAAGCATCTGCACACGGATTGTTTCTCCACTCGTTTATTCTTTTTTTTCATTCAATTTGTCACTTGTTCAAACTTAATTCAGCTCAAAAACATCTAAAGGAAAAACATTAAGCTGATTTAATCAGGTGGTACTGAGAGTGAAAATATTATCCATGATACTGTACTCACCTCAGAACAGGTGAACACTGTCCCTGTTTGAAGAATATGGGTCTGTCCATTGACTCATCACTCTTCATAGACACACAGCTGGGCTCAGGAGAGTCTGGTCTCTTACTCTGAATCAGACTAAAACACATTCAACCATCTGTTAAGAGCTGTAGTCTTTAATGCGTCTCCCACCATCACACAATGACTTCATCTCTTATTACACTCAGTAATTTCTCTAAACACTCTTTGGAGAAGGTAAAGTGAAAGTTGCTACTTTGTCCTTTTACGTTTGTCCGACACTCGTCCAAGTGACACACATGTATTACACACTTTCTGAGAACAGAGCTCATTTCATATCATGAAACTCTTTTAAAAAATGTACTTTTTCTTTGGTGTTTTTAGACACCAGATTAATCAATCTAAGTGCTTATCCTTCAGAAAATGTAATTTTCTCATGTCAGGCTGTCAAATTAGATACATATAAGCTATATAAGTTGTTTTCCCCCCTTAAATGAATGGGTAACAGGGTTAAACACAGATCATATTCCCTATTAAGCTGATAATGTATCCCTCGCCCCAAACACTTAACCCTACTCCTCTGTTTTGCGTGTTCAAATCTATGGGTAGCGTGTCCTGATTTTTACGTAGCACATGGCATTTTCAGAGGCACACACTACATCTTCAGAGAAACTCTCCAAACGGAGTGTTATAAGAAAAAAAGAAAAACGGCAAGATGGCCGCACAAGAAACCAAAGAATCCACAAATGTGAGAATTTCCTCTGTTAAAAAATACAATAACCACTGAATTATCTTAATGTCATTTCGATGTATTACGGCCCCTTTTTCATAAGAATCATAAAAAAAATCGTTAATAGTTTACTGATGCCTCGGTAGCTAGCTAGCTAAATTTCCCATTCCACCTTAAGTGGTGCAGCAGTTCTGACGCCTGAGGCGCCAGAATGTAACTGCTGCTCCATTTAAGGTGGAATACGGCAAATTTGAACAAGTTGCTGGTGAATAGCTGACTTCAGCTTCACTGAAGAATTAGGGGTGGGCGATCATAAATCATTATCACATCCCCCTCTTGAAGGCATATGATGCCCTAAATGTAACTAAAGCCCAGCAGTGAGGAGCTGAACTTTACCCTCCTCTGCTATCAATGCAGACGGGCAGGGTCGCCTACAGAGCAGCGCTAGTAGCCTCTTAATGAAGTAATGCTCTTTTTTATTCGAGGGTCCCATTTCATAGGGAAAGATTTCGACTACTAGCCTTGTAACTCAGTTCTAGGGGGCAAGGAGATGCTCGAAAACAAGGGGTAGAGGTGAAACTAAGAAATGGGATTGGGCTTCCGAGTGGTGCAACTGTCTAAGCGTTGGCCCTGTCAGCAGGAGATCGCGAGTTCGATCCCTGGTGATGCTACAGCCATCCGTAGCCGGGAGTCCAAGAGAGCACAATTGGCCTCGCTCTCTCTGGGTGGGTGGGATGGCTGCCCCTCTCCCCCCATCACTCAGCGCGATGCTAGTCAGCGCAGGCGTCTGCTAGCTGACGTAACAGATCTGGCGGTTGGCGCTTTCCTCCGAGCGCGTTCGGCTGTCCAGTGACGTTGCGTCAGCGGCAGCTCGAAAAAGAAGCGGTGGCGCTTCACAGGTCTCGGAGGAAACCTGTGTTAGCCTTCACCCTCCTAGCGTTGATGGTATCGTGTGATTGGGGGAGTCCTAACTAGCGGGTGGAATTGGAGACGACTAAGTTTGGGAAGAAACTTGGGTAAAAATCCAAAAAAAACAACAACAAAAAAAAGAAATGGGATTGAGCCTTTATCAAAATAAGCACTTAACTTCCAAAAATGTTAGTGTCCCACATCAGACTGTCAAACAAGATATGTGTGACAAGTTAAAGGAAAAAACAAAATAGTCTTTTACTGTGCCTTGGTGTGGATTCTACAAGTCTCTGGAACTGTACTGGAGGGAAGGAACACCGTTCTTCCAAAAGATATTCCCTCAGTTGGAGGTGGAGAGCGCTGTCTAACATGCTGCTCCAAAATCTCCCATAGCTGTTCAACTGGGTTGAGATTTGGTGAGTGTAAAGGCTGCAGCACAGCCCATACACCTAAAGACAGATGTCACTTTAGTCACGGTTTCTATGGAAACACTGGCCAGATGAGCAGCCTTTGTGACTGAAGCTCTGTGCCCCAATAATGACCCTCTTTCACAGTCATTTACATCCAAAGTTGAGGTCAGATGGGTCAGCTCAGCATTTTTAGACATGACACAGAGCACAGTGGGATGTTACTTGCTTAATGGTATCATCCAGCACACCTGTCTGGAAGCATCTGCACACGGATTGTTTCTCCACTCGTTTATTCTTTTTTTTTTATTAAATTTGTCACTTGTTCAAACCTAATTCGGCTCAGAAAAAAAACAATAAGCTGATTTAATCAGGTGGAACTGAGAGTGAAAATATTATCCATGATACTGTACTCACCTCAGTTCAGGTGAAGACTCTCCCTGTTTGAAGTATATGCCTCTACCCATTGACTGATCACTCTTCATAGACACACAGCTGGGCTCAGGAGAGTCTGGTCTCTTACTCTGAATCAGACTAAAACACATTCAACCATCTGTTAAGAGCTGCAGTCTTTAATGCGTCTCCCACCATCACACAATGACTTCATCTCTTACTACACTCAGTAATTTTGTTCACTTCTGTGAATAGAGTTCATGTCATGTATGAAAGTCTTTGAAAATGTACTTTTTCTTTGTTGTTCTTGACACAGTATTAATCAGTGTAAGTGCTTAACCTTCAGACAATTTTGTATCATTATAAATGGATTATCAGGGGAACAGGACTGCACATTAATATTATATTATGTGACTTTTATTATGTTATATATGTATATATACAGAGAGTCTTGAAATATTAAGCCAGTCTGGGTCCCATCCAGACTTCTTATGTTTAAGTTGTTTTTTTTTCCATCTTTCTCTCTTTCCTCTGCCCTCTCTTCTCCTGCTCCCCCTCCCTGAACACTTTCCCCTCCTTGCCTCCTCTCTTCTCTCTCCTCATCTCCCTGAGCTCTATCTTCCATCCCAAATGCATGTTCCATCTCTGTCTACAACAAACAATAATTATATGAATTAACATAAAATAAAATTGGCTGGTTATTTTTCAGTGACAGTTATAACTGCCTTTTTAATGGTTGCTAAATTAAGTCCTTCACAGTTCGCCTATCTCCAGTCAATAGGGCTGCAACAAATTACTAATTTGACAGTCTAATAATCTATCGATTAATGAAACGAACAATCCATTATTCGGTAATGAATCACTGCATTACCAAATAACTTTTATGTAGCTATCAGCTTTTCAATTTTGCTTGAGGTTGTTTTAATGATCTTTCCTGCTAATACAAAAGTTTAAAAAACCTCCAATGTATTTTTATGTATAATAATCACACACACACGCACACACATGAATTAAATGTGAATTTTAAACAGTGCAGTCTGTGCTCTGTTCATTCTGCTGCCTGTCTAAACTCTGTTGCAGCGAAATTCTACAATCACAGATCTTTAGTGGAACGGAGTAAAATCAGTATCTCTCCGTGCTCCTGTGAGATTCTTTCTCTCCTCTACGAGCAGATACTCCCAGCTGCAGAGGAGACGCACTGTGATGGAGCAGATGGGAAAGTTGAGACCATTTGTGGCAAACTTGTTCTCTAAACAGTTAAATTTGTAAAAGTGAACAGGGAGCTGTGAATTATAGTTACTTGCTCCTCTGTTCCAACTCCATTAACGATACCAGAGAACCTGCATTTCTAATAGATAATGTTACAGCTCAGCTCAGAACATGAAGGAGGATGGAGTTTAACATTAGCATTAGCTAACTAGCTCACTAGCACAACTGTCCCAAAATCGGGCTTCCTGGATGATTTATCAAGCCTGGATTAAATGATTGAATTTCTTTATTTTTTTCTATGGCAGCAAAGATTTTGGCATGGTAGGCCATCACAAAGAAATGCTACCCACGGAAACACTGGAGTATATTTCACAGAAAAGTTCAACGTCAAAGAGGTGGGACAGCCTAAAATCACCATATTAAAAGTGGGTACAGATATTTAAAATGTTTTGTGATCATTTAAATTAGGGATGCATGGATACTAATACTAGTATCGGGTATCAAGCTGATACTGTGCTCATACGAACTCATCATGCTGCTGTGCTCATGAACAAACGCAGTGAAGGAGGCTCTGCTGCTCACTCAGAGATGTGATACTCACTCTGTCACAGTCAGACACAAATCCGTCAGTCACTTTAAACATTCAGTTTTGGCAAATTCCTGCCAGGAATACACTGTGTGATTTTAGCCCATTTAAACACACACAAACACAACTGCTTCCCCAATATAGGCGGAGACGGAAAACTCGACATTTGCTACCAAAGTCGGAGTATGTGACTTTACCCTGTTTGACTGAGGTGAACTGCAAGGTGTGAATGCTAATTTTTTTTAACTGTCTTTGTAAAACAGTCTATAGAGAGACTGTATTGTCCTACTGTGTACTTCACTGTCAGCTTTTAGTTTCAGTGCAGTGTTAGCAGTGCTACTGTATCAGTTTCTCAGCATTTCTGCTCAGTGCTCAGTGTTTTATTTTGAATGAAAGAGCTTTGTTTGAAATCGTTTACAGAGTGAGTTGTCTGTAGAGGCTGTGCCTCACATAGCATGGACTCAGCGTTTTCATACTGTGTGAGAATATGAATCGCAGGCTTTGTCCGTATACAATGGACTATTGAAACGTACAGTGTGAGTCACCAGTGTATGTCTGGCTTCAGAGGACATTCAACTGCAGCTCAAGCAGCCAAACAGAAAAATAACAACATCCATTATTTCCAAAAACAATCTAAAAGGTGGACTCGTTATACCACAGCACGTTTCTACTTGAATCAGTCCATCTCAGATGAGCCCAGAGGAGTCGGCAGTTTTTCTAGATGCTGATGTATACGGTTTCTGCTTTAGAAAGTAGAGTCTTATTTGCAATTGTAGATGCAATGACAAACAGTTTTTTTAGTGGCAAAGGTTTTCCAAAGTATTGCTGAGCCCATGTGGTTATACTTATTACAGAAACAGTGTCGTCTGAGGGGTCAAAGGTCATGGGCATTCAATATTGGTTTTCAACCTTGTCCTTTACCAACAGAGATTGCAATCGTGTGTTGAGGAATGTTCTTGAACTGTTGGACTGTTCACTCAAAATGGCGAACTTCAATCCATCCTTGCTCATAAACAACTGTGCATACTGTGAATACTCCTCTGATACCCAATCATGATAGCATCACCTGTTACCTGTTTACCTGTGGAAAGCTCCAAAATAGGTGTTTTCGATCCACAGACTTCCCAGTGTTACACTGTCCCTAATTTTTGCAATGTGTTGCAAGCACCAAATTTGGAATTAGCATATATTTACAAAAACAGTAAAGCTGATGAGATAAAACATTAAATATCTTTTTTTTTTTTGCTGTTTTCAATTAAATATCTGTAAAACAAATCACTACTTTTTGTTTTTCTTTGCATTTTATCAACTGTCCCAATTTTGAACTGGGTTTGTAATACAGCTTAGTGGTGAAGGAAACGTGAAGCAATTAGGTTATGTAGTTAACAGTAAGAAATTAAGCTCAGGGGTAAAATGACAGTAGCCACTACTGTCAGTGAAACATAGCGACCAATTTCTTTGACCACTGAGATACTCTATCATCTGTTCACTTTTCTAAGATTCACATCCAGGTGCATTTATGCTTCATGAGTCTCACCTCTCAAGTTCTTCAGTGTTGTGTTCCCCAGAGCCTCTCATTCTGGAAGTCAACCTTCCTCCTAAAAATTAAAGATGACACATTTTCTTATAATCATGTTACCTAAAAGATTCAGCACGATCTACAATAAGACTAAACATATGAGAAAAGATTGTTTGGTCAATGTTTACACAAAGAAACAGTGCAGAAGAAATACAGATGTTACAGGTGTTACTCATAATAATGCATTCATAACAACCTATTAAGGTTAAACTGAAAAGGAAAAACTTAAAAAAACTTAAGTTCCAAAGTCAGCCAGGGTTGATACTCTAAATGACTGGCGCCCGGTTGCTCTGACCTCCATCATAAGCAAGTGCTTTGAGAAGCTGGTCAGAGACTTTATCTGCTCCTTGCTACCTGCCACCCTGGACCCACTGCAGTTTGCCTACAGACAGAACAGATCCACTGATGACGCAATAGCCCTGACTCTGCACACTGCCCTCTCCCTTCTGGACAAAAAGAACACGTATGTGAGAATTCTGTCTGTCTACAGCTCAGTATTCAATACCATTGTGCCCTCAAGGCTCAACATTAAACTTCAGGATCTGGGTCTGAACAGTTCTCTGTGCAGCTGGATCCTGAGCTTCCCGATGGGCCAACACTAACCCTTAACATCAGAGATCCTCAGGGCTGTGTTCTCAGCCCTCTCTTGTACTCCCTGTACACCCACGACTGTTCAGCCAGCCACAGCTCCAATGTCATCATCAAACCACGATTGTGGACCTGATCTCCAATGACAACGAGGAGGCCTACAGAGAGGAGCTCAGCTTTCCAACACACTGGTGCCAGGAGAACAACCTCTCTCTCTCTCTCTCTCTCTCTCAATGTCGACAAGACCAAGGAGCTCATAGTGGACTTCAGGAAGCAAGAAAGAGTGCACACCCCCATCATCATCAATGGAGCCACTGTAGAGAGGGTCAACAGCTTCAAGTTCGAGGTAGAAGAAAGAAGGCACAACAGCGCCTCTTCTACCTCAGGCAGCTGAAGAGGTTTGGCATGAACCCCTGCCTCCTCAGAACATTCTACACATGTACTGCATTCTAACAGGCTCCATCACCACCTGGTATGGGAACCGCACTGCCATTGAGCGGAAAGCTCTGCAGAGGGTGGTGCGGACAGCCCAGCACATCACCAAGGTTCAGCTCCCAAACCTCTGGGATTTATACACCAGCCGCTGCCTAAGGAAGACCAGGAGGATTCTAAAGGACTCCACCAACCCAAGCCACTGTTTGTTCTCAAAGCTGCCATGCGGGAGGAGGTACAGAAGCATAAAGTCCAGAACCAGCCGGTTTCTCCCCCCGGGCCATCAGGCTGCTGAACAGCCAGTAGTGCTGGTGTATCGGTCTATAGGCCTGTCACTGCACCTCTGAGTCATCGACATGATGATCTCCATGAACAATCTACACCTCATTCACATCTCAACAGACTTACTGTGATCTTACTGCACCTTCAATCCAGCAATCTATACTTACACATATAGATTGACATGTTGTACATCTTCTATATATATCTTGTATAATCGGGAAGATTTCATTTATTTATCTACCTCAGACTCACTCACTGCACATACGGAGATGTGCACAACAATACATATAGTTTTATTTCATAACTTATTGCTGTACAACTGTACATTCGAAACTACAATACTAAAAAAAAAGTTTCTTTTTATATATATATATATATATATATATATATATATATATATATATATATATATATATATACATATGCATACATACATACATATATATATATATATATATATATATA